GGCTGGTATTGGCCAAGCCATGGGGAATCTTCCAACATCTGGATTTATTGGCTGTCCATGAGTTCTAGAGTTCTGAGAGAGGGTCTCATCAGAGTCCTTGGAGAGGGACACGACAGCTGGGTTCAGACATCCAATAACCATCAGGGCTGGCATGTAGGCTTCTTGGAGACACCCTACAAACTCCTCCTACAGGGAAGGGCCATAGAGCATCTGTATGCAGAAGGTCCCTGATTCAGTCCCCAGCAGCTCCAGGCAGGACTGGAAAGAACCCTGCCTGAAACCCTGGAGAGATGCTACCGGTCAGCATAGACCAGGCTTCCTCAAACTCAGCCCTCCATATGTTTTTGGCCTACAACTCCCATGATCCCTAGCTAGCAGGACCAGTGGTCAGGGATGATGGGAATTGTAGTCTCAAAACATCTGGAGGGCCAAGGTTGAGGAAGCCTGTCATAGACAATGCTGAGCTAGATGGACCAACGGGTCTGACTCTTTATAAGGCAGCTTTGTGTGTTCTATCTGGATAGCCACTGATAGATGCTGGACTAGATTGACAAGTTTGGTCAAATCCAGCAGATATTTTCTCGTATGAAGGTGATGTGAACCTTATAACCTGGTTGGCAGAAAATTCCTCCATGCCCTGACCAGATGATATTTTCTTCTTGCGAACAAGAGCTGATGACCATTCTGCAAATGAACTTTTCGCAGATCTACAATGCTGTGATTATTAGATCTCCAGCTGTTGCGTTTTCACTAGTCGATCCTTCAGCAGGACCCCCCCCCCACCTGCCCAATGGATCTTGGTAATGTGCAACGGTTTGCATGGTAGTGTTTGCTTCCTTAAACTGTAGAATCTGTACCTCTTTTCCAGAAGATGTGGACTTTTTGGCCCAGAACAAGAACCCCCTATCTGTTACAGAGATGGGAGATCAGGAGAGTGGGGAATGGCTCCCTCTGGTGGTCCATACTGTATGTGATCTCTCCACTGCAGCTTCCAAGCAAGATGAAAATGTCTCACATTTCCTCACTGAAGGGCTCTTGTTTAGTATTCCAAATCAATTGCCTGGTGATTTGGGTGTCACTTTCGATTTGAAGTAACTAGCACCTAAGGAGGCCTGAAGAATTTGATTTTGGTGGATTCTGATGCCGACTGATTTGATCTGTACCTCCCTGACCTATGTGAGAATGGGGACATAATTATCCTTTGGATAATTCAAATTTTATGATACAGGTATCTTTAAAAAATAAAGAACAAACTACCAAAATATGTTTTAAAATGCATATTTTGAGAAGTACATTTAGAAAAGCAGATTCTTCCCACTAAGAAAGAATAGCATTGTAAAATGTTTGAATATGCTGAACTGGCTGGTCTGACAAACAGGATAAAAGAAAACCAAGATAAGGAATACAAGGAGAAATGGACAATGTTTATTGAATATTTTAAGAATCAGTATAAATAAATACATAGTTTAGCAGGTCTTGAGTAAATCCAGCAGAGTTGAAATAGATATAGTTTTTATTAGATAACAAATTGGATGATTAAGAAGATGTGGATTACACGGAGTAGTAGAAAAGCAAAGGCACCAGGAAAAGCATGGAAGGGAAGTCATATAGTATTTGCATACCTGCTGTATTTGGTAAGATGCTGTAAGTGGGGCAAGGAGGGGGAAGGGGGGGTTAAGTGTGCTCTCTGTTCCTGTTTTTGAAAATGCAAATAAAATAAAATAAGAAAATAGAAAAGCAGATGAGATATGAGAACAGTGGTGCTTATCTTTTAGTGGGTGGAATAGGGCTTGCCATTATTATCGTGTTGCAGGATGATCCTGGAATGTTGTATTGTACATCATTTTAAATTTGAATTTAAGAGAACACTGTAAACAACTTTGGCAAGATTTGAGTAATGCTTCGGTAAAATTGGATGATTTAAGAAAAATAGAGGAAATATGTGAAGCGGTTGAAAAAGATCGAAAATGGTAACCATGGAAGGGTGGAGGGGAGTCTAAGGATTCAGGGAATCCTAAATGATGATGAGGATGTTTAATGTTTGAATTTAAATGTTATTGAATTAAAACTCAATAAAAAAGATTATACCACCCCCAAAAGCCTCGTCCCCAAACTCTGAATGACCTCATGCAGTGGCATCATGTAGATGCTAAACAGTGTCAGGGAGAAGATCGTGCTTAGGTTAGGATTGTGCTTTAAGTATAATAGCATTGTCTACACTCAATAAACCAGCTGAATAGCAAATTAGAAAGACTTTTTCTATCCATTGAAGCACATTTGTTCCCTCTTTATAAATTTGTTCTGAAGAGCACCCTGGAAGCACGTGTAAGATAAAGGGTTCTGGGATAGGAGAGACTGACTGTACATGACTGGGACCTTTAAATAGCTAACCTTTCCCTTTGTTACCAAAGCTTCCACTGTTTATACGTGAACACAAAGTGAAATGTACACAACATGGACAGTCCTCGTAAATCAAAAAGGATTATCCAACCCCAGAGTGTAACATTTAAGGTGGTGCACCTCTCTTCTCAGATCTTTCATGGGTCCCATTCTGTCCCCAGTTTGCTGCTCAGGATCAAGAACATTTTGTGTTTTTCACTCGTTCTAGACATGGATGAGAGTCTGGTTGAAGATTACATCCTTCCCTTTGTTCTCCACCTGTTCTTTTTTTTTTAAAATTGAAAATCCGGAAATAGAAGACTTCCAATAAAGGGGCAGTGTCTGGAGAGATTCTTTCACATGCTATATAGACCAACAAATGCAGGCTTAGAACCACCAACTGCACAGCTAACACAAAGGCCCATGCATTTGTGGTAGCTGAGGTGGATTTTGGGGTGTGCAACTGGTTTGTCTGCACTGGGCACCATTCCGAGAGGGCACTGCAGGGTGCACTGCAACAATAATGTAGAAATGAAGGTGAGAGGTGTGTGGGGGGGCATTGAATTTTGCTATAGCATAGGATGCCTCTGAAATTTCAAAGCACAAAGTCCGCCAATGGCAGTAGGGTAAAAGTCCCAGCTTCAGTCTCTGGCATCACCAGGTAGGGCTTAAATTAAACTATTATTATTATTATTATTATTATTATTTAGTTGTTTAGTCGTGTCCGACTCTTCGTGACCCCATGGACCAGAGCACGTCAGGCACTCCTGTCTTCCACTGCCTCCCAGTCTGGTCAAACTCATGCTGGTAGCTTCGAGAACACCGTCCAACCATCTCGTCCTCTGCCGTCCCCTTCTCCTTGTGCCCTCAATCTTTCCCAACATCAGGGTGCTTATTATTATTATTATTATACCACCCTATACCCGGAGGTCTCAGGGCGGTTCACATAAAAGATCACAAACTAAGCTTATTTAAAATAGGAGACCCCTATTCCCCTCTAGAGCTACAGTTCCTATCGTGCTTAACAACAAACCACTCTTCCCAGGGAATTCTGGGAACTGTAGCTCTAGGAGGGTAATAAAGGTAAAGGTAAAGGGATCCCTGACCATTAGGTCCAGTCGTGGCCGACTCTGGGATTGCGGCGCTCATCTCACTTTATTGGCCGAGGGAGCCGTCGTACAGCTTCCGGGTCATGTGGCCAGCATGACTAAGCCACTTCTGGCAAACCAGAGCAGCGCACGGAAACGCCGTTTACCTTCCCGCTGGAGCAGTACCTATTTATCTACTTGCACTTTGACGTGCTTTCAAACTGCTAGGTTGGCAGGAGCAGAGACCGAGCAACGGGAGCTCACCCCGTCGCGGGGATTTGAACCACCCACCTTCTGATCGGCAAGTCCTAGGCTCTGTGGTTTAACCCACAGCACCACCCGCGTCCCTAGGAGGGGAATAGAGGTGCCCTAACAAATCTCAGCACCCTTAACAAACTACTGTCCCCAGGATTCTTTGGGGAAAGCCATGACTGCTTAAATTGGTATAGAAGTAGTTGGAATGTACAGTGTGGAAGGTCTGACTCACAAGGAAACATTTACTCCTGAGGAGTTATTGTATGTGGTCAGGCACTTCTCCAAATAAGACAGGTTTCCACCTGGCATTTAAGGCATCACTTATCGTTCATAGCAATTTCTAAAAACAGTAGAAAATTATGTGGTCTGGTTATGTTGGACTCTACCTCCGTTAGGCATCATTTTGTGACTGGTGGGGCCTCTGCGATTTTCAGGCTTCTCAAGTGATTCTGGGAGCAGAAAGTTGGAGAACCCCTGATATAGAGCTTGCCAGACTGTAAATTTAAAAACCATTTCCTCCCTGTCCAAGACAAGGTGATGTCTGGTCTGGAAAGAGGCAGGCTGCTTCATGGGCCAGGGAGAGAAGATAGCCAGGAGGACAGAAGACTCTCAGGTCCAATGACTCATCTTGTCCCCCACCCCCTGAAAAAAAAAAAGCTTCATTTCCAGATAACTCCGGGGGGAAACAGTTCTTCTTCATTAGAGCTAAGAGTCTTGGTTCAACCCTGGGAGAGAGGTTGAAAGTATAGAGATAACCGGTAATCTTTCAAAATAAACAGCTCATATTTGCTCAGACCCAGCTGAACATTGTTCAACATCTAGGAAGGGTTGATGGAAGTGTTATTCTTGCAATACTCCATTCCCAGCAACAAAGGACATGGAGGGTTAGGGGGAGAAGCCTGGAAGAGGCAAGATTAATGACATGGTTGGGGTGGGCTGAGCTGGACTGTGGGCCCTATCTCTGCTCAGGCATTTCCTCTTTCAGACACAGAGGGCTTTGGCTGGGGAGGAATGAGCGGGGCAGGGCAGGGGGTTGGGGAGGCAGAAGCTAGCTTATAACAAGAGGGATACCAAGGATGGGATTTGCCTTGAAGCCTCCTCATGTGTGGGCATCTGCTTTGCATGCAGAAGGTCCCTGGTTCAACCCCCAGTATCTCCAGGTAGGAAGACTTCCAGCCTGAAACCCTGGAGAGCTTCTACCAGTCAGTATACACATTTCTGATGAATCAACCATCTGGCCTAGTATAAGGCAAGTGCCTCTGTTGCTAAGCAAACTCTGGAGAAGGGCCATAGCTCAGCGGCAGAGAATCTGCCCCACATGCAGAAGGTCCTAGGTTCAATCCCCAACGACGTCTCCAGGCCGGGCTAGGAATATTCCCACCTGAAACCATTGAGAGCTGCTTTCAGTTAGTTCAGACAATACTTGGCTATATGGACCAGTGGTCTGACTCTGAATAAGGAAGGCTCCTATGATAGGGGAGGTGGCATAGCTCAGTAGGTAGAGTGTCTGTTTTGCATGCAAATGGCTCCAGGTTGAATCTCTGGCATCCATCTGAAACTGGGAGAGACTGCCCCAGTCATTCTGGGCAGCTTCCAAAAGAATATTAAATACACAATAAAACACCAAACATTAAAAACTTCCCTATGCAGGGCTGCTTTGAGAATGCCAATGTGTTTTAATCTGGATTTTAGCTTATTGCTGATTTTAACTATTATCTGAATGTTTCAAATAGTTATTTTTAACTGGTTTTTTTAAAAAACGGATGATTTCATTGTTTTGTTCATTTTGCAAAGTGCTTTGAGGTTTTTCGTTTTTACAATCAAGTGGCATATAAATTTTGTGAAATAACTAAATAAATAACTTCAAGAGCCACGGACTGTATTTAGACAAGGGTGGTGGTGGTGGTGGAGAACATCAGGCCCTCCAAGCCCCTCTGTCTGGCCCTTGGGACTTCCACAGGCCACACCCCCTCTCCATAGGCCAAGCCCCTATTGGCCCTGCTTTCCACCCTCTTCTTGTGTGTTTTGCTTTGCCAGGAATGCATCCTTGAACACCAATAACACCTCTTGCTTGCCCAGATGTGGAATATACTAAGGAGGCGTGCATATGTAAAGAAACTAGAAAGAAACATGCCCCTGGCATGTGACTCTCAGAAGGTTGGCCAAAAAGGAATATGGTCACCTTTTGGAAAAATGTCCCCCAGCCCTAAACTGCTATTGTCCAGGTTTGGTTTGGTTTGGTTTGGTTTTTCGTTTTTTAATAATATTTTTAAATTAAATTTTCCAAATTCTTTTAAAATACCATCATAAGAAATCTCACATATCTATTGACTTCCCATCTACCCTTCCATGTTTTTCTTTTATTTTCTTGTAAAGCTGCCATGTTACTTATACAGTGGTACCTTGGGTTACATACGCTTCAGGTTACATACGCTTCAGGTTACAGACTCTGCTAACCCAGAAATAATACCTCAGGCTAAGAACTTTGCTTCAGGATGAGAACAGAAATTGTGCTCTGGCAGTGTGGCGGCAGCAGGAGGCCCCATTAGCTAAAATGGTGCTTTAGGTTAAGAACAGTTTCAGGTTAAGAATGGACCTCCGGAACGAATTAAGTACTTAACCTGAGGTACCACTGTATTTTACCCGTTATGTACGTTAATTCATAATTATTAAACTCCAAATTCTCACCTGTTGCTGAAAGTCGAACCCTGCATATGTTTTAACATAACCATGATTTTTTAAAAAAATATATATGCCACAACATAGTTCCATTCTTCAAGAATTTTTTTCATGTTTTTCTCTTAATTCTCACAGTTGTTCTAGCCATCTCAGCATATTCCATCATCTTCATAAGCCACTCTTCTTTCTTTGGGACTTTTTCTTCTTTCCATTTCTGCGCGTAGACTATTCTTGCTGCTGTCGTAGCGTACGTGAACAGATTGACTATTTCCCAGGTTTTGTATGTGCTTGCCAAGCCCAATATTAGACTGAGTTGCAGTATAGAGGGAGGGGGTTTTGCCCATTGCTAGCTGTGATGTCCCACACCCCCTGCCATTCCAAGGACAGGAAATTCTGAACACCAGCTCCATCTGGGTCCCTGCTGGCTCTGAAACCCTATTGGATGGCTGAGGGATGGCTTTTGATTGGGAAAGGCCTATTCGACTTTTGCTTCACCCTGAACTTGGAATGGAGTTTGGAAAGGGGGGGGGCGAGGGGAGGTGGAAGGCATCAAGGAGAGAGAAAGAGAGAGGGAGGGAAACAACCTGCAGCAGCAATAAAATTAATTTCCTCCTCTAATATATACAAGACTTTCCTTCGGAGAATTATGAGCCAAGATGATCAAAGTCTGTAAGTGGTACTTATGCTATCAGTTTCGCCCCCTTAATGCCCTCCTGTCAAAACACAGACCCTCGAAAAGGGCTTTGAGCATAATGGCTTTCTTTTTAAGAAGAAGGGAAGAAAAAAGACCCTAAGTACTTGGTAACGTATACAGAGAGGGCTATTAGATCAGGCGGCGTAATTGTACTTGCAGCTCACTGTAAACATTCTTAGGTTAGCAAGATAGCCCTTGACGCAGGAGACAGAGTCAAATGCAAACCTTGTTGCTGAAAGAAGGGGAGAGAGAGCGAGAGCGAGAGCGAGAGAGCGAGAGAGCGCACACACAGAGAGCCTAGGACCCTCGTACCTACGGGACCGCCTCTCCTGGTATGTTCCACGGAGGACCTTACGGTCTTCAAACAAAAACATCTTGGAGGTCCTGGGCCACAGAGATATTAGGCTGGCCTCAACCAGAGCCAGGGCTTTTTCGGTTGTGGCCCCGATCTGGTGGAAAGCTCTGTCACAAGAGACTAGTGCACTGTGGGACTTGACATCTTTCCGCAGGGCCTGCAAGACAGAGATGTTCCGCCAGGCCTTTGGCCAAGGCACAGCCTGACCCCCTCTCTCCTTCTGAAATCTTCATAGAACTCTAGCCCAATGGTTGCCATTAATTTGATTCTGAACTGATTTTAGAATGTATTTCAATTAATTGACTGTGATTTTATGTAAATTGTGCTATTTTTACTGTTGTTAGCCCCTTTGGCTGGGGAGGGTGGGATATAAACAAAATTATTATTATATTATTATTATTATTATTATTATTAATTATTATTATTACTTATTACTAAATAGACACACTGCAAGGCTCATTCTGAGATGGCTAAAGAGGATCAGGAGAAACAGATATGGAAATGGCTTTCTGAAAGAGTGAAGCTGAAATCCATAGGCGCTCAGTGCAATCTGTCGTTATGTCTCCAAGAACTTAATTTGCACTGCAGAGGGTAATCATTTTACCTGCTGGATCAGGCCAATGACCCATCTAGTCCAGCATCCTGTTCTCACAGTGGCCAACCAGATGCCTGTCGGAAATCTACAAGCAGGATTGGAGCCCCCTGTGGCTTCCAGCAACTGGTATTCAGAAGTGTTGCTGCCTTCAGCTGTGGAGACAGAGCAGAGCCATCTTGGTTAGTAGCCATTGTTAGCCTTCTCCTCCATGAATTTGTTTTTATATGTGCTGTAAGCTGCCCAGAGTGGCTGGGGAAACTCATTAATAATGCTCAGTAATAATAATACTTGTTATTGTTGTTGTTGTTTAGTCGTTTAGTCGTGTCTGATTCTTTGTTGTTTAGTCATGTCCGACTCTTTGTGACCCCATGGACCAGAGCACGCCAGGCACTCCTGTCTTCCACTGCCTCCCGCAATTTGGTCAGATTCATGCAGGTAGCTTCGAGAACACTGTCCAACAATCTCATCCTCTGTCGTCCCCTTCTCCTTGTGCCCTCCATCTTTCCCAACATCAGGGTCTTTTCCAGGGAGTCTTCTCATGAGGTGACCAAAGTATTGGAGCCTCAACTTCAGGATCTGTCCTTCCAGTAAGCACTCAGGGCTGATTTCCTTAAGAATGGAGAGGTTTGATCTTCTTGCAGTCCATGGGACACTCAAGAGTCTCCTCCAGCACCAGAATTCAAAAGCATCAATTCTTCGGCGATCAGCCTTCTTTATGGTCCAGCTCTCACTTCCATACACTTCCTTACATCACTACTGGTGACTGGTAACACTACTTGTTATTAGTCCTCTTTTAAAGCCATCTAGGTTGGTGGCACTGAGTGAATATGTTATTACATTTATCTGTCCTGAATTTTCAGACATTTGGCTTCATTTAATGCCCATGAATTTTAGTGTTATGACAGAGGGAGTAAAACTTTTCTCTGTCCATGTCATCCACTTTCTCTCTCTCTCTCTCTTTCTCTCTCTCAGTCTGTGTGTTTTGATCCTTTCGAAAGTGCATTTAGCAATGATGTCACACCCAAAGCCTTGTGAGGAGCAGAACTCCCTTATGTTTATCTCCTCACCGCACCCTCACACTCCCAAATGAAACAGGCTTAAAGTTGAGCAGAGTACTCCACTGAGAAATCTGTGCAATGGGTTAGGAATGCATTTGGACAGGCAACCCTCTGATCAGAGGTGGAGGCAATTATTTCCATGGTCCCAGGCTCATTCCCTGGCAATTCCAGGTAGGGCTGAGAAAGACAGCTGCCTGAAACCTTGGAGAGCCATTTGCCCTACGGGGCAAATATTATCACAGTCCAAGGGGACATACATCCTGGCCAGGCAAAAGGAAGGTGCGCAGTGTTGGGAGTGTTGGGGTGCAACTCACCTTGGAAGAAGGGCTGGTGGGTTAGCATGGGAGAAAGGAGATGGAGAAGGGGACCTGCACACTCCTTAGACTGTCCTTTTGACCTCACTTGTGTTGACGTTTCCTCAGATGCTAGACTGAGACTCTCAGACTTGTTGAGTTCACTTCCTACTTCCCGTTTCTTCTTGGTCCCACTTTGGGAGATCTTTCCCTAGTTGGCCTGTATTTTAACATGCTAAATATAGCATCCATTTTAATATTCCAAGCATTTATTAAATTCTAACACTTACCCATGGCAATATAATGGAACTTCAAGGAAAACTGAATTTAAGTCACTCCAAAAGAAGATATTAAGGCAAAGGGACCCCTGACCATTAGGTCCAGTCGTGGCCGACTCTGGGGTTGTGGCGCTCATCTCGCTTTATTGGCTGAGGGAGCTGGCGTTCAGCTTCCGGGTCATGTGGCCAGCTTCTGGCGAACCAGAGCAGTGCACAGAAATGCCGTTTACCTTTCTGCCGGAGTGGTACCTATTTATCTACTTGCACTTTGATGTGCTTTCAAACTGCTAGGTTGCCAGGAGCAAAGACCGAGCAACGGGAGCTCCCCTGTTGCGGGGACTGGAACTGCCGAGCTTCTGATTGGCAAGTCCTAGGCTCTGTGGTTTAACCCACAGTGCATTGGGTCGCTCCAAATCATTTACCCATGTACATGCACATAAAATAGTACAGTAAATGTAAAGGTAAAGGTAAAGGTACCCCTGACCATTAGGTCCAGTCACGGACGACTCTGAGGTTGCGCGCTCATCTCGCTCTATAGGCCGAGGGAGCTGGCATTTGTCTGCAGACAGCTTCTGAGTCATGTGGCCAGCATGACTAAGCCG